GCTGGCTATTTTTGTATACATGTTTGTTTGTTTATCTTGTTTGTTTTGTTATATTTTCTGTGTAACCTAGTTAATCTGTGCAGAAGGGTCACAAGGATTCTCCAAAATTTACAAAAAATTTTGTTTTTGGCAAAAAATTTTATTTTTCCAAGCTTTGCTATTTCTATGCTATTTCTATTTGTATTTGTTTTATTAGCTAGGTATAAATTTTGTTGCTCTTTCTTTTCTACTAAGGGTCTTAGTGTTGCTTCTTAGTGTGTTTTGTGATATTTTTTCTGTTTTGCTTCTTACTGATTTTGGTCAAGGGATCTGCAGAAGAGAGTTCAATGAGTGTTTAAATATTTATAAAATTCATATTAAATATTAAATAAATATAATATTTTTTTTATAATTAAATTTTAAATACAAATATTTAGCCAATATTTTATATAATTATAGCTAGTAGTTTAAATATTTACAAAATTCAAATTAATATTAAATAAATATGATATTTTTTTTATAATTAAATTTTAAATACAAATATTTAGTTAATATTTTATATAATTATAGCTAGTAGTTTAAATATTTATAAAATTCAAATTATATATTAGATAAATATAATATATTTTTTTATAATTAAATTTTAAATACAAATATTTAACTAAAATTTTAACTTGTTTAAAATTGCTAAAATTAAACAATAAATAAATATAAGCTAAATATAAAAATATTTATTATTTTGCTAATATTTATCTAAAAGTCAAAATATAATATTTTAACCAGTGAAATTTTTCGAAAATAAAACGTTAGGTGTTCAGAATACTGTTAACTATTAAACAAATGGCAAAAGTCGTAATAAAATTGGCTAATTTTGTAGCCCGCATTCTTTTCCATTTTATTTTAAATTACCTTTAAAATTTAATAAGAAGAACCTTCAAATACTAGAGTATTTGCAAAATGATACCTAGAAATTAAACCGACGACTTTTTTATTATTTGAATAAGTTTAAAAAGCAAAATTTTACATATCGATTTAAAATTTTGGTGCGTCAATCATTTTGGTCAATTTTATACACATTATCTGCGTGACAAATCGGGTGTCTGATAATTATTGGCTAATAGACAACGAATTCGAAGTAAAAAAATGCTACGTATAAGTTATTAAAAAAGACACTTTTAGACTATAAATTTTAATTTATAATAATAATTGTTAATGCAATGATTCTTACAGTCATTGTCAAATACGTATCTGGTTAAATTTAATAAAAAAAGTAATATCTTTAAATTTAACAATCTATTAAAATGTAATAATCGAATCGCTTACTAACTAGTACATGGTTTAATAATAAGACAACAAGATACATAATGAATAACATAAATTAATCGAAAAGAATTATCAAATATCAATAAGTGTAATACATGCTTACGAAAGGCATTAACAGTATAAAAAACTAACTACGTGTAATCGTACACGTCCTATATATATTCTATGTTTAAGAATGTAAAGCTTAATCGAATAACCCTATATTCAAAAAAAAAATTAGAAAAACCAATTGTAAGCACTATTGTTTAAATCGCTATTTTCAAGTTTAAAAAAAAAAAACTAAACCTTGATTTACCTTGCTAATTATTAAATTACCTTGACCTATAAGACAAAAGTGCACCCTACCGCTAACTTCTGGATTAATTAACCTTTCCTCGGATTAATTTGATATGTTATAGAGTGTAAAGTGTAGTTTCAAAATATACATGCAACAACCTTTAATAATTTGTTTTCATGGCAAACAATTCGTTTAAAGTCAGCTCTTATATGCAGTATATATGTAACTATACATTTCAATAATTGACCAATCAGAATTAAAGCCCGCTATGCTACATCAATTCATAATTACATTCAACAATGTTTGACAATTTCTAGTGTTGATTAAAATTAAATAAATAAATAAAATTTTATAACCTTTATTAAAGATTACATTTACAATATAGAGGTTGATATCTTATATTCTTAATTTCTTTTTTCTATATCTTTTATCAATATCTTGAAATGTCAGAATGTCGGTTTAAACATATATGGGATCTTTCCTAGGAAAATCACCCTTCGAGCCATTGTTACACGAGATTTTAGAAACAAAATCCTAGCAAAGATCCCATATTAACTATCGGTTTACATTGCCTGTTTCTAATAATTCTTTCGGAAATTCTACTTTCGCCTTTTCAAACTTCCCTTTATAACTTTAAGTATCCATATGTATTCTGATATTTTTTAACGTTAATACTGTTTAAGCCTTAATTGGAAGTATAAATATGCATCCAAGTAAATCCAAATAACTGCACGACAAAATAATCTTTATAAATTTTGGGATTTGTTCGAAATGCCTTTTTTATATATTGCATTATCCGAATTAAAATTTTTCATCGGAATCCTAAATAATAATATTCTTAAATTATGTTGTATAGGTCAATAATTTTTCTACGTATAAAGTTTTTTAATTATTATAAGATCAGCATATGAGCACAAGTGTCCACCTGTGAAATCCTAATAAAAAATTTTGGTTGCTTTTATGGAAAATCATTGTTCAACATTCAACATTCGTGTAAATAAATAATACTATATTAATGTTTGACGTTAAGTTAAAAATATTTCTTTTTTATCATCTTTTAATCATGAGCCAAACTGCCACTGAATTTTATGACAAGGGAGAGCAATACTGGTACGGTAATGATGCTGAAAAGGATTTGCATAAAGCTTTTGAATACTATCTAAAATCTGCTGAGATGGGGCATGCTGTTGGAACATATTATGTTGGATATTGTTATCGAAATGGAATTGGAGTCGAAAAGAATGATTATAAGGCATTTATTTATTATCAAAAATCTGCTGAGATGGGGGAAATTAATGGAATATATAATGTTGGATATTGTTATCGACATGGAATTGGAGTTGAAAAAGATGATCATACCGCATTTGTTTATTATCAAAAATCTGCTGAGATGGGGAATGATAATGGAACGTATAATGTTGGATATTGTTATTTTTATGGAATTGGAGTTGGAAAGGATGTAAATAAGGCATTCATTTATTATCAGAAATCTGCTGAAATGGGGGACGCTGTTGGAATATATAATATTGGATATCTTTATAAAAATGGAATTGGAGTTGAAAAGGATGAAAACAAAGCATTCAATTATATTAAAAAATCTGCTGATATGGGTCATGCTAAAAGCATAAATAAGCTTGGTTATTTTTATGGCAATGGAATTGGAGTTGAAAAGAATGATCATAAGTCATTTATTTATTATCAAAAATCTGCTGAGATGGGGGACGCTGGTGGAATATACAATGTTGGATATTGTTATCGACATGGAATTGGAGTTGAAAAGGATAAAAACAAAGCATTCGATTATATTCAAAAATCTGCTAATATGGGTAATGTTGACGGGATACATATGCTTGGTTATTTTTATGAAAATGGAATTGGGGTTGAAAAAGATAAATATAAAGCATTTATTTATTATCAAAAAGCTGCTAATATGGAAGATGCAGTGGGAACATATAGTCTTGGAGTTTGTTATCAACATGGAACTGGAGTTGAGATAAATTTGAAAAATGCTTTTGAATTGTATTTGAAATCAGCTAAAATGGGTTATGCCAAAGGAATGCAGCTCGCTGGTTATTGTTATAGGAATGGAATTGGTACAAAAAAGAACCTAAAGGAAGCTGAATATTGGTTTAAAATGTAAGCATTTTTTTTCTTAATTATTATATAAAAAATATTAATATTAATAATTTAAACATAGGGAACGAAACAATTTTCAAGGTAATAATTTTGTAGGTTATTCCTTTTTTATTTATGTTTATATTAACTCAATTTTAAATAGAAATAAAGAAATTCTCTTATTCTGGTATCGATGATAACGTAAAAAAAGTATTGGAAGATGAGAAGTATCAATTATTATGGATTCCATATAATAAATTTAATAATATTAAAGAGATTGGAAAAGGAGGATTTGCAACCGTTTATCGAGCTAATTGCATGATTGATTATAAAACTTCAAGATTTGATTATTTATTCGCATTTAAAATGATTCATGATCAGAGTTTTTTTGATGAGGTAAATTTATTGAGTTATTTAATTTTTTTAATTATATATTGATATTTTTTTTAAAAAAAAGTTGAAAGCATTTTGTGAGATAAGATATAAAAATCCATCATTTTTGAGGTGCTACGGGCTATCTAGAGATGATGCAGGAAATTACATTCTTATTTTGCAATATGCAAAAAATGGTTCTTTACGTAATAATCTTTGCGAAGTATCGAAAATGAAATGGAAAAAAAAATTAAATTTATTAAGTTGCATAGCATCCGATCTTGAAGCTATTCATTCACAAGGATATATTCATAAAGATTTGCATAGTGGTAATATCTTACAAGACGATTTAGATAATGCATATATTACGGATTTAGGTCTTACATCTCTTGCTAAAAATGTTAATGAAATTATTGGAATTTTACCTTATATTGCACCTGAGGTTTTATCAAGTCATTCATCTACACAAGCTGCAGATATCTATTCATTTGGTATAATTATGTGGGAAATATTAACGGGTGAAGAAGTTTTCAACGGTTACGAATTTAGTGATGAATTAGCAATAAAGATTTGTTTGGGATTGCGACCGGAATTCGCACCTGGGACTCCAGAATGTTACGTTGAATTAGCTGAACAATGCATGGACTCAGATCCAAAAAAACGGCCTACTGCTATATATATTAGCGCATTAATTACTGCTTGGATCGACGAATTTTCGCATGAAAGCAACGAAAAAATAATTAAAAATCAATTCTTAGAGGCTGATAAGCATTCCTTAGAAAATGATAGGCAATCCTTAAAAACTGATAAGCAATCCTTAGAACCTGATAATATAGATAAAAAATTACAAAGTATCGTGCAAAAACATCCAGATTATAATAAGTACACTTCAAAGTCCATTAACTTGCAAGGGACCATGAAATCATTATCGAAAATGACAATTGTCAGCGCTCCGGTGGATAGCGTGGAAATTCCGGAAGAGTGAAGGCATCGCGAATTAATCGATGAAAAAAACATGATTTTTTACTATTGTGAGAATGAAACTTAAACTCATAAAAATTATACCAATATTTTAATGTATGAATTTTAATCCCCTACATGGCCTGTAATGTAGTTTAGATCGTTAAATTAAGGACGACTAGTAATATTTACTTAAATTAATTCGGTCGTTTTAAATGTTGTTATTAAAATAATTTTTGTTTTTGCGGATTTAAATATTAAAATTATATAGAACTTTATTGTAATATTAATTTTTTTTTGTTTTCGGGTTTTTTGGCACTTAATATTATATTACTAATATCTATAAATAACTATAAATTAAATTCACCGTTCATTTCAAACATTCGATTTATCAAGTCTTCCATATTATAATCCATATTTCTAAGCCAATTATTGGTTTATAAAATGTAAGCTACCAACTAAGAGAAGTTTTGTTATTATTTTGTTTTTATTTTCTAGAACTTTTCAGTAATTACACAAAATTTTCTAAATACCTTTTTTTTAAATTCTAATCTATAATAGTCAGAGTATAAAAAATATTCAAGTAAATAAGTATTATGATTAAATTTTTTATACGGATAATTAAATATTTGAATTAATACTATATTTCAGATGCAGTAATCAAAGTGATAGATCTATCAATAAATGCTTAAACTATAGATAGTTATAACCAAAAATTGGATTTTTGAATTGAAATTATAAAACATGAAGTAATTAATTATATTAGTAAAAAAGAAAAAAGCATATATAGTTTTGTTTATCTTTGGTTAAGGAATGTTCGAAGTGATCGAAACATCATATGTGCATATGATAATTGAACAGAACTGAGGAATGAAAAGTGTTATATGATATGAAGTCAAAGTATAAATATATTATCTACTCATCCTTGCAAATTTGATATTATTCTTACTGAAAATCATTCATGCTTATCATTTGAGTGGAATCTATAGTGATGAAAGTCTTATTAATTCACGACAATAAAAAGTCAATCTGCAATTACAAGAATAAATACTACAATTAGATATATCAAATTTTAAATATTAAAAATTACAATTCTACATTAATTAGTTTGCAATGACCAAATAAAAAAATGCTACAATTATATATATTGAATCATATTAAAAGTCAGAATGTAAATATAACATTACTTTGTGATGAGGCGTTGTTATGATCTGGATATTTATTTCCTTTTCTTCTTAGTTGATATTTAGACAATATTATTCTATATATAGTAATAGTTTGATTACTTAGCCAATATATGCTTAAGGTCAAATTTGGTAATGCTTAAAGAAGTCAAAAATGGTCGAATGGTGCAGCAGTTAAATAATAATCCAAAAATAAAAATTACTTTATATAAATAGTTCTTAAAAAAACTTAGACTATTTCTAAATGAAATAATCATATGTACAAAGCTAACAAAGTCAATACAAAAAGCATAATTATGTGACTAGAATCGAGAATCATATAATTATTATTGAAAAAAATTAAGAAATTGGTGCAAAAGAGTTGTTGAGTGAAAAAGATAAGGAATACAATAAATAAAAATATTTAAACAATAGTTTGAATTTTTAAAAAGAGCAATCTTTTATAAATACGCATAATTAAAATTAATTATTATATATAAACTTTATTTATACATATAGTTAAATGCTTACCAACTCACTTTCTTAACAATAAATAATACAATGTATATTATAGCTTTAAATAATTAATCCAGCTAATTTTCATAAGTTCAAAAATTTAAAAATTTATAAGTAAAAATCAACTCATTACAGAAGTACACTTTAGCAATATAGAAATAAAAAAAAAGAGTCATCTAAAAAGTGCTGAAAACATATCTTAAGTAATCAGCATAGAAAGTTTAAAAAAAGAGTAAAAGAAATTGCCCAAGAATGTAAGACATATCTTGCTTGTGATAGAGAAAGAAAATGTCATAAAGCAGGAACAAGTACCAATTTGCAGCAAGAGTCAGAACTATCTGTAATAGTAGTAAATATAGAAGTCACATATTTAGCTAATTCAAATATCACTATTACATTTTAAAGCAAAGAAAACATTAATGAAAATAAGGAGACTATCACAGCTACATCTCAAAATAATGATATCATAGAAATAAGTGTTGAAACACAACACTAAGCAAAAACAAACATGAATTTTTGAGAAAATTTCATACTAAGATAAGTAAGTTTTAATATGTTCTTTGTACTAGATGCAATAAGTGTTTTTTATCTATAATGCTTGTTAAGAGAATGTGTTATTATTGCAATAATAAAATGAATTTACCAAAAAAGTTTTCTACTGAAAATAATATGAATCCAGATAAAGTATTTAAAAAGCTTCAAGAGCTAACAGAAGTAGAAAAAATATTAATAGTTTAGGTTTCTACTATAATGTCAGTATATAAAGTTTATAATGAACAACATGATTATAAAGAAAATGTTATAAATTTTTCTCAAAATATAAGAGTTTATTACATAACTTCCTCTAAGTTCATTAATATTAAATATATTAATTATGCATTACCAAATAGCAAATAATCTTATTACATTTAGAAACTTTTAGTTTATTGTAAAATTGTTACAAATATACTATACTAGTTAAAGGCAAATAATCATTATTATACTGACATTACTATTGACAATGAAGTACTTGAATCTTTGTCTTAAAAAGAATATATAGACAGTCAGCTTTCACAAATTTAAACAAATAAAAAGAGTGATGATTCAAATAATAAAAATGATGATAATAATATTACACATTCCTTTGTATCTTTTCTTCTATTGACTAATTGTAAAGAAGTTGCTATTAATAGCACTCTTGACTATTTAGAATCAGAAAATCTATCAGTAATATAGCTGCATGTTGATAGCATACCTATCAATAAATTTCAAACTTCAGAATATATCATATGCATATTTCCAATTTTATATCTAACTGGATACATTGATTTTTATATAGAGTATACTAAAGAAGTTAAACCAGCCAAATACTTCAAGCATCTTCTTTAATTTAAGAATAGAAGATTTGTTTAGTACACTCATTGGCACTTTTTTATATTAAATTTCATTATATAATAGAGAACACTATAAGAAGAAAAAGTTTATATTAGACAAAATTTGAATAATGATTAGTTTACTGTAACTAATATCCAAAATATAATTACTAAAGATGATATACACATGGCTAACAAAATGATGAGATTTGATGTAAGTTTATATAGAATTCAACAATTTTGGAATGCATGTTGTCTCAAGCTAACAGATATGATTAAACAATTAGACTTATAAGAATTAATATTTTTTATCTTTAGTGCAGCAGAATTATACTGACCTGAACTTCTCAATTTTATACAATCTAGAAAAAATTCTGTCAAAGAAACTGATTCTTCAAATTGCCAGTATCAAAACATTATAGACAATCTTTATATCACTGTTTGGTTTTTTAATAAGCAGTTTAAAATTTTTTTTAATAAGGTACTAAAAAAATAATAAGATTTAGAAGACTAATAGTATAGGTTTGAGTGGCAACATCATAGTAGTATACATGTACATAGTATAGAAAAGAAATAAAATACCCCTGTAATTAAATTGGAATAAATAAAAAATGATGAACAAGCAATAAATAAGGTTATATAATATCTTAACTCAATTGTCATCATGATAAATTCAGAACACAGATTACTTATACCTAATCATCATCTATACCAAAAGTGTCAAAATGAGATATATGATAATCTACAAAATTATATAAATTAAATTAATAAGTTACAGTAATATATACAATGTAATGCTATATATTGTCTTTATATTAATTAAGCTAACTAGTAATCATACAGATTTGGCTTTTTTAAAGATAATATTAAGCATACTTTTTTGTATGAAAATAGTTATAAGAAACCAGAACTTATAACACCAAAGAACAACCTATATATTAATCTATATAATTGATTTTAATTATAAGGTTGGTGGAAAATATAGATATTAAACCAATCTTAAGTATTCATACAACTTTACAATATATTTCAAAATATGCAAGTAAGGCAGAACTATTTTCTGCTATATTTTCAGAAATACTAAATCAGATTATATCTGACAGTAGATCTAATAACTCAGTACTTCCAATAGTTTAAAAATTACTAATGTATAATGTTGCAGAGTGTGATATTTCTGTACAGAAAACTTGCATACTCTTTTTGGTATTTCATTTTATTATTCAAGTCAACTATTTATTACTCTAAATCTAAATAATAAGGCACCAAGATGGCTTCATATACTGGTAACAATAAAAATAACAAACATACATTAGTTAGAAATGCAGAAATAACAACAAAATTACTTTTAAGAATATATTGAAATCAGCCATTAGAATTTAAAAATTTTCTTTATATTAATTTAATTTTTTTTTTTTTTTTTTTTTTTTTTTTAAGCAGTCACACTAGTGCTTTATTAAGATTTTTGAAACTACTACTGCAATTACATAAATTTATCTAACAACTAAGCCTAGCATCACCCAGCTACCCTAATGGTGCCTAAGTGCAACCTGCTGCA